CAATAAACAAACCTTTTCCCGAGTCAACTCGTTCATTTCGTTTGTTGAATGAATCAAATGACACGAAAAAAAGATTAAACAGTTCGAACTGGAGATCACGAACGCGCATGACAGAACAGAGCAAGGTGACAATTGAGCTTATAAAACTTAAACTTTGTTATTTTTTTTTTTTATAAGAGCAATCGTTTCGCTTGATAAGACCCTTATTCATCGTCTGGAATCGTTTAAAGTCCTTTGAACAGTTTGCAGTTCGCACTGAAACTGTCTTTTGGACCTTGAACCGTTTGGTTCCCACTGGATTCCATTACATGGAGAAAAATCTAGTATGTGGTGAATGTTTTCATCAAAAACCTTAATTTCTTTTTCGACTGAAGAAAGAATGACATGGACATCTTGGATGACATAGGGGTGAGTAAATTATCAGCAAAAGCTTTTTTTTTAAAGTGAACTACTCCTTTAATATTTCTCCGGGAGTAGCCTATATGAGTTTGGAAATTTGAGAGAAATTCTATATTAACACATTTACCTAAACCCATATAATTTAGTTACAAAATCTAGCCTACTGTGCATTTAGTCGACTAAAATCTTAGTGTACTGTATTCAGTCGACTAAAATTAGACTAAAACTAAAACAATTCAGATGACTAAAATATGGGATGACTAAATTCAGATGACTAATGGGATTTTAGCCAAAAGACAGACTAAAACTAAATCAAAATTTGCTGTCAAAATGAACACTGATTTAGTCCATACTGGCAAGGGCTGGAAATTAAGTAGGCTAGTAACAGCAAATATTTCACTCCTGAATAATGACAAAATAATTAGCTACCAAATTCAATAGCATTTGAAATAAAACACAAAGTTATAAAATTAAAAGAAAAAATCTTGTTTTGAAACGTTGTCTAACCCCACCCACCGGTTGCATAACCCACGGTCCTGCTGCCTGCAGCTTGTTATTTCTGTGTTTGGACCGCAGTACTAGATCATCAGTGTGCGCCTGGAAACTTCGGGGCTCTTCAGCCTCTAAAGTTACCACCAGAGTCAAGAGAAGTCTGGTATTTCTAGAAGGAGCATGGGGGGTATAAAGTGCAGCGTGTCACTCGCTCGAGGCAGTCAAGAAAAGAAAACTCGAGCAACTGAAGCAAAGCTGAGCAGAAGAGTCCTCTCTCTGAAGCGCTATAACAAACTCGCACAACCTGTAAGTGACTCTCTGAGTTAGACCAATACTTTTGAAATATACATTATTAGATATTTTTATGTAGCCTATGATATATTAATATAAATTAAAATTTAATTGGAAACTTTTCCTCAAGTAGATTTTTTGGTATTATTTATTTTATGTATAGCCTATTATTATATATTAATATAAAAAATAAATTTATATAAAATTTGATTATTTTGATTATTGATTTTTAAAAAATGTTTAATTAGTCATATATATATATATATATATATATATATATATATATATATATATATATATAATTTTACACTGATATTAATACTAATAACTATTATTATTCTTATTTAATATAATAATAACTCGTGACTTTTTTGTATTGCAGGTGATATTTCATTATAAATAATCAAGATGTCTAAAGGTTTGTCCATTGGCATTGATCTGGGAACCACTTACTCCTGTGTGGGAGTGTTCCAGCATGGCAAGGTGGAAATCATTGCTAATGATCAAGGAAACAGAACCACTCCAAGCTATGTGGCCTTCACAGACACAGAAAGACTCATTGGAGATGCTGCCAAGAACCAGGTCGCCATGAACCCCAACAACACAATATTTGATGCCAAACGGCTGATTGGTAGAAAGTTTAATGATCCAGTGGTCCAGTCAGACATGAAGCTTTGGCCCTTCAAGGTCATCAGCGAAGACGGCAAACCAAAAGTTCAAGTTGAGTACAAAGGAGAGACCAAGACATTCTACCCTGAGGAAATCTCATCCATGGTCCTAGTCAAAATGAGAGAGATCGCCGAAGCCTTCCTGGGTCAGAGAGTCAATAATGCTGTCATCACGGTCCCGGCCTACTTTAATGATTCGCAGAGGCAAGCAACCAAAGATGCGGGGGTGATCGCCGGTTTGAACGTGCTGCGAATTATCAATGAGCCTACAGCCGCTGCCATTGCCTATGGGCTGGACAAGGGCAGGAGACAAGAGAGGAATGTCCTGATCTTCGACTTGGGTGGAGGCACCTTTGATGTCTCAATCCTGACGATTGAGGATGGGATCTTCGAAGTGAAAGCCACAGCAGGGGACACTCACCTGGGTGGGGAAGACTTTGACAATCGGATGGTAAAACACTTCGTTGAAGAGTTTAAGAGGAAGCACAAGAAGGACATCAGTCAGAATAAGAGAGCAGTGAGAAGGCTTCGCACGGCCTGCGAAAGAGCTAAAAGAACCCTCTCATCTAGCACTCAGGCTAGCATCGAGATCGATTCCCTGTTTGAAGGCATCGATTTCTATACTTCCATCACAAGGGCTCGCTTTGAGGAGTTAAACTCTGAGCTCTTCAGAGGCACTCTTGATCCAGTTGAGAAGGCTTTAAGAGATGCCAAAATGGACAAGTCTCAGATTCACGAAATTGTTCTGGTCGGCGGCTCCACGAGGATCCCCAAGATCCAGAAGCTTTTGCAGGACTTCTTCAATGGCAGGGATCTCAACAAGAGCATCAACCCAGACGAGGCGGTGGCATACGGAGCGGCGGTGCAGGCCGCCATCCTAATGGGCGACACTTCGGAAAACGTTCAGGACTTGTTGCTTCTGGATGTGGCTCCTCTGTCCCTGGGTATTGAGACCGCAGGGGGAGTCATGACTGCTCTGATCAAACGCAACACCACCATCCCCACCAAGCAGATGCAGATCTTCTCTACGTACTCTGATAACCAGCCGGGCGTCCTGATCCAGGTGTTTGAAGGCGAGAGGGCCATGACCAAAGATAACAATTTGCTCGGCAAATTTGAGCTCACAGGGATCCCCCCGGCCCCACGAGGCGTTCCCCAAATCGAGGTGACCTTTGACATAGATGCCAACGGCATCCTGAACGTATCTGCTGTTGACAAGAGCACAGGAAAAGAGAACAAAATCACCATTACCAATGACAAAGGTAGACTGGGCAAAGAGGAGATCGAGCGAATGGTGCAGGATGCTGAAAAGTACAAAGCCGAGGACGAGGTGCAGAGAGAGAAGATTGCAGCGAAGAACGCTCTAGAGTCGTATGCCTTCAACATGAAGAACAGCGTTGAGGACGAAAACCTGAAAGGAAAGATTAGTGAGGAAGAGAAGAATAAGGTCATTGATAAGTGTAAGGAGGTTATCACTTGGTTGGAGAACAATCAGTTGGCTGAAAAGGAAGAGTATGAGCACCATCAAAAGGAACTGGAAAGTGTGTGTGGTCCAATCATCGCTCGGCTGTATCAAGGAGGAGTTCCCCCCGCAGGTGGCTGTGGATTCCAAGCCCAGTCTGAAACACAGGGCCCCACCATTGAAGAAGTGGATTAAAGAAAGGAAAATCTGCCTTATTATATTGTGCAATATTACTTTTAATGTTAAAAAAAAAGATATGGGGGCTTCACTTCATATTTCCAGATTCATATGAGACATATTGTCAAATGTGCTTGAATTGAAATGTTGTAAGACAAATTGTACTCAGCTGTGTCAGCTGATAGGTGAATTAATGAAATGGAATAAATTATGGAATGTTTTATTATATAACATATTTATTATGTATTATTTATTTAAGAATACATAAATAAATGCACATTTTAAACCATGAAAACTAATGAAACCAGTATTTTCTCTATCAAAGGGCAAGGTAGAAAATGTATGATGATAAACTTGCTCTACCTCAGTTTGTACACTAGATGACGTTGTAACACAGACTGAAACTCGAGAAAGACCTGGATCAACTTGATTAAAACCTAAAAGGTCAAATACCATATTTATTCATTTATATTTTTAGTTTTTCATTAATTTTACAATTGGATGTAGCCTACTGCCAAAGTTCTGAAATGCCTTTGGAGACAGCATATGGTAGAAAAATGAACACTCAATTCACTGGCAACCGCTCTGGTGGACATTCCTGCAGTCAGCATGCCAATTGCACGCTCCTGCAAAACTTGCAAAATCTGTGGCATTGTGCTGTGTGGTAAAACTGATAACATTTTAGAGTGACTTTTATTTTGGGCCAGTCTATGGCACACCTGTGCAATAATCATGTTGTCGAATGAGCATCTTGATATGTCATGTCACACCTGTGAGGTGGATGGATTATGTTGGCAAAGGAGAAGTAAGTTACCCACTAACACAGATTTAGAAAAATTTGTAAATAGGCAAATATTTGAGAAATAGTTTTGTCTACCTAAAAGTCTTATATCTTTTAGTTCAGCTCATGAAAAATGTGGGCAAAAACAAAAGTGTTGTGTTTTTGTTCTATATATATATATATATAAAAATATGTGTGTGTGTGTGTGTGTGTGTGTGTATGAATGTACATATCATGCTAGCATATATATATATATATATATATATATATATATATATATATATATATATATATATATATATATATATATATATATATATTTCCCATTTGCTTCTTCAACAGCAAAATAAAAACTAAAGAAAAATAACTAATGAGTTTCCAATGTCAAATTTACCAGTTGGTTTTTATTTTTTATTTTTGTTGTTGCACAATATAATGCGGCTGCCAGAATAACATGTATGCATTTGGCAGACAATAACACACATACATTTTTATACAGATTTATAGACACAAAAAAATACAGTTTTATAGACTAAATGTAGGCTACATAAAAGACAATTAAAATATTAATTAATGCAGAAATACGTTATTATTGCCTAAAAGTAAACTGAATCTTTTCTCTATAATCAAATTGAGCTTATAATCACACGTAATGCAGCGCGTTAAGGGTTACTGAAACGCTGGAGCATCATCATCATCATCATCATCATCATCCTCCCATGGGCTGTGTCGCCTGACTGTCACAAAGATGCAACAGATCTTTTCCAGCAAACTGATGATAGGCTACAGCAACAGATGATTTGGCCTAATTCTGTTGTACAATCAAAGACGTTATTCGGCAAGATTTTTTTGTAAATTAGCCTAATTGTTGTGATTAAGGAATAATGCGCGCGCAGGATGGGATTTAGGGTTGGCTACTAATTAAACGACGAGGTGACCAGACTTTTGAAAGAGATGAAATTGGAGGGCATTTTTAGAGTTGTCTGACCTTTATTTGAACTACTCTGTTTTTCTTTGCATATCTTTGCAAATGTAACAAATGCCTGAGCACGCGCGCTTAATTCGGTCGTGATACGCGGACGGTTTGCTCATGTTTTGGTGTTTACTATAGTGTCAAAGTGCCCATGAATGAGGATACACGCCAGCATCCTCCCATAGACTGAGAGTTTCTCCGTTAACAGGTGGTTGTTCGCGTCTCTGATGGTCATGGTGACGGCGCAAACTCTCTACAGTTGTTCGACTTTTAGAACTGACGACAGCTGCGCGGGTTTAGAAAGCCAAAAGAGTTATTAGGTAAAAGCTTCTCCATCGAAATCTATGATCAGCTCGGTGTGTGTTTCGTCGTACCGCGGGCGCAAGTCAGGCAATAAACCTCCTTCCAAATCATGTCTGAAGGAAGAGATGGCCAGAGGCGAAGACTCGGACAAAATCATAATCAACGTCGGCGGCACGCGCCACGAAACCTACAGGAGCACCCTTAGGACCATACCGGGCACGAGACTCGCCTGGCTCGCCGACACGGACAACCAGGTGAACCCGGACGCAGACATGGTGCAGACGCCCACCACCAGCGAATTATTTTTTGATCGACACCCGGGCATATTTGCCTATGTGCTGAACTACTACAGGACTGGCAAGCTTCACTGCCCAGCGGATGTGTGCGGCCCTCTGTTCGAGGAGGAGTTGGCATTTTGGGGCATCGACGAGACAGACGTGGAGCCCTGTTGCTGGATGACATATCGCCAGCACAGGGACGCAGAAGAGGCGCTTGATATATTCGAGCCGCCAGACCCGGAGGATGCGGAGGACGACCAGGACTTGCCCAGACGCTTCGGCATTGAGGACAGCCCTGACCGCTCCAGGGGATGCTGTGAAGTTTGGCAACCAAAAATATGGGCGCTCTTTGAAGATCCATATTCTTCGCGTGCAGCCCGGGTAAGAGATTGGAATTCACAATACAAGAATAGGGGGAAAAATAAGGCCTTTGAAAATGTTTTATTTTCTTCAACAAATGGTCAAGTAGGTGATCCTTATACTCTAGTACTCTATAATAGCCTACAGCAAGTTCCTTTGCAAACTTTTTGTTCTATAGGCTACCTTTATCAAATTACTGTGTTATTTCTTGGGTATCAGAATGTTAAAGAATGTTACATTATTGTTGTAATGAGGAGAAACATAAAATTTCATAACTAATTAAAAGTAGTCATTAAAATAGCTTTAATGACTAATTGAATTGAATATCAGTTCAACAGACAACATCCCCAACTGTAGAAAACATGACTTTATTGTATGATTTGAATTGTTGAATACAACTGCAGGACGAGACAGTCCAAAAGCACCCTTTAAGGGGGGAAACAGACATTTCATGTTAAAAATTGACTACTTTTCATTATAGATTAGTTTTATTTGAGATAATAGTAAACATATCCAAGAGTTCTGTGTGAACATTGTCTCTTTATTGCTTTAAAAAAGGTATTGGGAGTGGAATGGAATGATCAATAGGAATGAGCAATGGAATGAGCAATAGCCTGATCACAATATGCACGTCTAAATTAGAAACATTTGCATTTGGGCCATTCAAGTTTTCATGCTTTAGTCTCAATTTGTAAGTTAGTTTTGAATAAATTCATGATCACATTGAAACACAATCAGCACCAACTGTCTATTGAGCGGCACCTGGTTCACACTGACTGTTACACACATGAACTCACCCAGATGGCACCTGCTCTAGTGTTAATGTGTCACATGCTCATGTCAGAAGTGTGAAATCCTCTTGCTGTGATGGATGAATGTCATTTGGAGATATTTCTGTGATGCTACAGACGTACAGAGTCAAAATGATTTATGTTTAATTGGTGTCATATGTCCATAAAAGTTGGGCAACATTCAGATTTGTCTATTTGTCTCCTTTAATGGTTATTTACTAGTGATTTAAATGGCCTTAAACCAGACAGAGAATGTGTATGAGGGTTCTGTCAGAGGAGTGATCTTTAGATTTTGAGGCTTAATGTTTAGTCATAAAGGTTTGTGCGTAGGTTAGAGAGCATGGATACAGTGCCTTTAAAATGCTTTTAAAATGTCGATATGTCAGTTTTAAGTCCATCAAATGATGATGAGATGATGAGAAGGATCGACTCTATAAAACGTTTCACTATTTCTTTATTTATGTTATGGCAAAGCTGCTTTTTTAGCCATTTCTCCAGTCTTCAATGGCACAATCCTTCAGAAAGCATTCTAATGATATTTAGACCATGATATTTTTTATGATCAATGATGAAAACGGTTCCATTATATTTTTTTTCAGTATTCTTTGATGAATAGAAAGTTCAATAGATTAGCATTTATTTGAAATATAAATTGTGTATGTAACTATAAAAACGATAAAACTGACGGCAAATCACGCCTATTTTGTGCATTTTATAGCTAATCATGTCTTTTATATCTGAGTTTTTTTAAGCTAAATTAAAAACTGTAATTAAATCACAAGCAAGCACCCTTGGCAGAGCATACAGTCACTACTGTAATGAGCTTTTTAAATCAGTAATGTAAAAGCTTTTTATTGTAGGACTGAATCTCTGTTGCAGTATTGAACCCTGGACCATTTGGCTCCTTTATTTTGACCAGGAAATCAATTCTCCCCTTAGAGAAATTTAAAAGTCAGTAATTTCTTTAGTTGTTTGGCACAGAGGTCACTTAAAATAGATCAAATAACAGTGCTCTCATACAATGTGTCTCTTTTCTCTTTAGGCTACAAAACAGACATCAGATTTCATTGATATGCAGTGTGTTTGTCACAGCTGAGCTGCTTTGGTTGTTAACATCTACACAGCTGAGCCATTGCCTTGCAGGTCTATCACTTCATCACTATTAAGCTAGCTGTTTGTTTTTTTTCCTAATTAATTTAGATGATATCCAGCACACAGGCCTGACAGACTAGATGCTGATCATGCCTCTAAGACAACCAGTAATAGGGAAGAAAAAGGTGAAACAGAACAGATACACTTTCTAAAGAATAAACCTCTGCGCAAACAAGACATCATTATATTCCAATCACCCAGAAACGACATGGAGCAAATGGTTGGGTTTCTTGGACCAGGCTGCTCTTCGGCTCTCTCAATTATCTCTGCCTTGAGAGCATTATGGGTTGCAGGGCTCATGTTACCATACTGACAGCTTCTCGGGCCATGTAATACAGTTAGAAAAGAGGAAAATCGATCTATGAGGGCTTTTATTAATCACGGGATCCAAACAGCAGAGGAGAAATGGAAAGAGATAGAAACAATGCAAACATTTATTTGTATATCTTGTCTCCCAGATAAGATCTTATCTTAAAAACGTTTAAAGTGTATTTTCTTACCCTATTAAAATAATAATTTGAGCCAAATGTAGTCTAATAAGTCTACTTGTATTGTCTTTGTCTGATGAAAACATAAAATAAGATATTTTGAAGAATGTCACTAAACAGTTTCAGTTCCCATTGACTTCCATTTTACTTTTTTTCCCATCTAATATGGGTGAACATGATTTCACCAAGTAAAACATAGTCCTGGATCAATTTTGTGTGTGTGTGTGTGTGTGTGTGTGCCTGGAACAACATTTCAATGAACCAATAAGATTTCAGGGACACGTTTATAGTTTATGTCAAGTTAAGGCTTACAACCAGTGTTAGATACATTAGTGTTATTCACCTATCATTTCCCTCTGATTTAGGAAGAAGTTATAGTATGGTTAGGTTTAGGAGTGGGGATAGAGTTAGGACTACATTTTCAGACAGGGATGTTGACAGAATATGATCCAGGAGTTTTAGTCTTGGGAAAATCACAGTGACCCCATAGAATGGAAGTCAATGGGAACCAATGCGTTGCCAACATTCTTCAAAAACATTCTTTTGAGTTGCCCTTTATTTTAAGGTCACGTAGTTACATTGTCCGTACTCAAATAAGTACTGAGTATGAATTATACATATACTGCATTAGAATAAACCGGGAGAGATCACAGCACTTGCATATTGTTGTCCTATTGTTATAGTTGCTTCTATGTTCTCATTTGTAAGTCACTAAAAGCGTTTGCTAAATGATTAAATATAAATATACTTACTAGTTACAATAATTATTTATTATTACAAATTGTATTGTTAATATTCATACAATTAATTCCAATTGTACTGGGATTTATTTGTTTATTAACGTTTTTTTGCTATTCTGATCTATTTTCTTTAATACAACAACAAAGACTAGTTGCAATGTTATGTGTTCGGCCTTGTATTTAAGCCCTGTGTTTTAGTCCAGTCCTTTTGAGTTCTTGTGTTACTGTCTATATTGGATGCCATGTTCCTAGTCTGAGTCTGTGTAAAGTTTTCAGTTTGTTGAGTAAAGTGTGCTGCATGTGGATCCTGCTTCCTCCTTGTTTCAACCACATTGTGACACTAATAAAATGGACAGAGAATTTATACCTGCACAAGCTGGTCCAGATATGCAGAGAGCAGTGGTCTCCGGTATAAGCCTTATATGAACACAATGAGAGAGTGTAAATAACAGACTCGAGTCTTGCAGTTTCATAGTTCTGTGCTACAGAGTATCAACAGGTTGGCTTTGTATGTTTAGAAGTATGGTAAACCATTTGGCATTTAGATAAACCAAAATGTAGATGTCTTTCACAGGCTAGACTTGCTCACAGACCTATACTCACGACTTGTTGCAATGACACGCTCACTGCAGTGGGGTTTTGCAATGTTGAGGCTGATTGTTTTTGAGAAAATCATTTATTAGAAGTCATTGTATTAGCAGAGCAAGATATTACTTTTTGATGAAAATGTTCTAATGCAAACCTTATTTGTTCCTCCAATGTGCAGTGATGAATCATTCACAATAAAAGACCAGGAACATTACACTGCTGGTACCTGTAGCAAAGAAACATTCAATTGATTAATGATGATTAATATTAACAAAGTGACTTAAATCCTGTTATTTCATACCTTCTATTCAACAAAGAATTACTGTTTGATCAAATAGATGCAGTCAGCCCTGTTAAGTATAAGAAACTTATTTCTGAAACGTGAAAAAAAAAAAATTTTTACCAACCCCAAAATTTTAAACAGTTTGATTTCATGCTGACTTTTTTGAAGATTTATATTTTAATTTAATGTAACATTTATGTAACATTAAGTAAAAATATAGTCAAATAGAAAAACTAAAATCATTGTAGACCATAGAGGGAATAAATATGTAATATGTATGTAAATATGGGAATAATTTAAATAATGTTCTTACTCTCAGAAATGAGCATTCACACACACAAAAGCCATTGCTGAGAAATGTATCAAATGCACTAACACTGTTGTTAATGCCGGGAAAAGACAGATTCTCTGGAGAAATGCTTGGCACAACAGCTTATGGGCTACTGGCACTGGACTCAGAGTTGTATGACAGACAAAGTAATAGTGACTTCATTCATCCCTGGTGTATGTAATTGCTTTAGTTCCCTGCAGTCTGCAGCTTAGGAACAATATAAACCATGGAGGGAGACAGGGAGTACCTTTTTGGCAGTCAGTGTCATGATTCATTTGGCATATTGAAGCTTTGCTTAGAATTATACCTTACTTGTATTAAGCTCTCAACATCACATCACAGTTCTCACATGTCATTTGACCTATCATGATATGGCAAATTTGAATATGTGAAAGTATTAATGAGATATGAGACAATGATATGAGAAAATGTCCACTAATGGTTTCTTTTAATAAAAAAAATTAAACAAAACAATAACATGAAACCTTGCAGATATAGATTCATGGCCATGTTCACCAAACAACACAATTACATTTACAGTTTATCCATTTGGCAGATGATTTTATCCAAGCAACACATTGCAATTCAAAACATTGTATCCATTAATGCATTCTTATAGAATCAAATCCTTGACATTGAAGTTGCTAGCACAGTGTAATACTGTTTGAGCTATAAGATGACAATTTAGGGTGACAATTTTTGTAAAAGACATTAAAGTGATGGATATGTAAAATATTTGTTTATCCAGCCCTAGGCAAAGCTACAACTATCCTCTGTGAATAAGGGACTAGTACTAGCACATTTCCCCTGAGGACTTGAATGCTAGAGAGTTTATATCTATCCTTTATTCTATATGAGTCTTCCTACTTTTGCTAACATTGTTTTTACTTGTTTAACAGTTATTGCAGGCTTGAATTATTTTCCATGGAAAGGGTTTGCTCATACAGGCGGACTAGAATGTGACAGCTGCTCTATGGGTAAATGTCTTTGTGAGGTGTGACTAAATACAAAATGAGCTGGAGGCTAGTGAACAGCTGGTATGGGAGACTATCTAAGTAGACACAGACACAAGCAACATGTTCTCTCTCTCTCTCCCTCTCTCTCGTTACCACTCTCTCTCACTCACATATGCACAGTTCAATAGTTTGGGGTCAGTAAGATCTTTTATTTTATTAATAATTTGTTACATAGCACGTTTCTGGGCACTCAAAGCGCTTTACATTAGGCAAGGATGCATTAAATTGATCAAAAGTGACAGCAAAGACCTTTATATTGTTACAAAATGTTGTATCTGTTTATTTAAACTTTACATTTTTGAATTATTTTTAAAAAGTATCTTGGTTTCTACAATGATATTAAGCAACACAACTGTTTTCAAGATCAGTTATAATAAGAAATGTTTCCTGAGGATCAAATCAGAATATTAAAATGATTTCTGAAGGATAATGCAACACTGAAGACTGGATTAATACTGAAAAATTCAGCTTTTGTATTTTTTTAAATCAAATAATTCCAGCATTTGTAAGCTTAATAGGCGTTTTTCAAAAGTCTTTCTGACCCGAACGGTATTTACTTGTCATAGATAAAGCAGAAACATCTGGATGTGCAGATGTGTTTGTGAAAGGATGCGTCATTACAAAGCAAGTACATTTACACCTATTATTCAACGTTTTTATGATACTGTAAGATTTTAGTAGCAGTTATCGTAAAATTGATTTCAATTAATCACTCAAAAATAGTGATTTACATCTAAATGAACTCACATAACAATCATTGTTTATTTTTATAATGATTTCTATAAGTTAACAGCCATCTGGCCTTAATACATTTTTAGCACAGTGTAGAAGCCAATACATAACCTGTCTGCACTTATACTGTTAGTGCTCAGATACAAGATCTTAGCTCATATTTTCATTATCTCATATTTTCATGTATTTATATAAATTTTTCATATTGGAAAAAAATGGTATTAGCATACAAGAGAGTTGCACTGGATATTAGCTTTTGTTTAATGAATTATTCTCAATGAACTGTTGCAATAGTGTGTATTTATAATGTGTGTTTTGTCATGTGATATAATGCTGGATACATGTGCAACGACCCATCTGTCCAGCAATTTACAACTCCACTTAAACTGTTTGTATTCAGCACTCTGAAAGGTTTTGCTAATGTTGTAACAATAGCACTCTGTGGGGTGCGAGAGCAGCTTGAGTAAATTATTTCCCCATTACCTCATTAGAACAAAAATATTTAGCTTAGAGTCCCTTTCTACAAAACAACGCCTCACACATTACTGAAAATATGGTGTCTGCTTTTTTGTGAAGCACAAAATGATAGGCATGAATAGCTAGTATGAGTTAAGGTGCTAGTGTAAGTCAGATCCATGTGGTCGAAATTTCCTTTAAAAAAAATCTACACGCGACTTTAGAAACAAAACATCTTTATACTAATATAAAAGTAAAAGTAGAACATCTCTTCTCTAGTACAATAAAATATTGTACTAACTGATTGTACAATAAGTTTTAGCTTTGATACAAAGCTAAACAGAATCCATTTTGATGGTAAACATCAGTCAATCCTAAATTATGATGGTAAAAGTTAAAAGGATTTGGTTTAGACTTGTTATTATCATGTGGTCCTGAATAGGGATTGTAATTGTTGCTGGTTTAATTCTGAGGGCACTTCTGTTTTTGTGACCACATTGCTATTGATTGAAGTACTCAATGAAGCACTTTAATAAGGAGTGAAATGAAAGGGCTGCTGGAACAGATAACTGTCATACATCTTTGGTTCTCTATATATTTGAACTAGTGCATTGTGTAAGCAGACTTTTTGGAAAAACATTTCTCGTGGTTCCTTGCGTTATTACCTCAAACACTTTTCAAAAAAATCTTCAGGCAGCCTGCAGTAATAGATCAATTAATTGTAAAAATGCAAACACAAATGAAATTGATCAGCGTGACAACAAGTCTTCAACTGTGTGGTGCTGGTGTGACATGGTTGTCATGGTTACCCAACCCCAAACACGCCCATGCTTTGCTGCTCCATCCTTTCTTCACATATTCTTTCTCTTTTAGTTTCTTAAAAAAAAGAACAATTGCCACTCAGCCAACATAGATTCATCTAGCTGCTGTTGATTTCATATAATTTAATTGGATAATTTTCGTTAAACTCTGCACGGCATCATTGTTAGAGATAATTTGGAGCTTAATTTGGGCTAATTTAATTGTTTCTTGCTAATGAAGGAAAAAGAAATGGCCATCAGTTGTGCATTTTGAGATAATACTGTATGTTAACAAGGAAGCAGGCTAATATGCCTCAACAAATAAGGATAAGTGGTGGGCTGGGGACGATGTGAGATAGTTTCTGTCAAGTGCTGCAAAAAGTGTTTTCAATTCTTCTAACATGATGCTAGGTAACTCATTTAAATACAGAAAATGTGAAATTTACGAAATAAAACAAGTTATTTTACTTCAAATATGACTGAAAGTTCATTGCATTGCTCTTGGAAAGAAGTTATACGAACTATTAGCATGTTTTGACTGTAAGTAGATAAAATGTTGAAATTAAATGAATAGTTCACTTAAAAATAAAAATGATGTCATCATTTACTCACCCTCAAGTTGTTTCAAACTTGAACACAAAAGAATATATGTTGAAGTGTTCAGCAGAAGAAAGAAATTCTTACAGGTTTGAAACAACATGAGGTGAGCAAATTATGCCATTCGTGAACTATTCCTAACTGTTATAAACAGAAATATAGGGAAATATCTATTAGTGTTTAATGTTCTGTTATGTTGGGATTTAAAAGGGTTTTTTGTCGGGTACCATTGCTGAAGAGAGCCTTTGGTTAGGTCGAGGATGGGCCAGTGAATGCTAAAACTATATGCTGTATGTTGCTATATTTGAAAAGCTATATCTGTTGCCATATTTCTAGTCTAATCTGCTTACATCTACATTTATCTGTTTCAGATAATTGCCTTTGTCTCCCTCTTTTTCATCCTGGTGTCCATCACTAACTTCTGCCTGGAGACCCATGAGGCCTTTAATGAGCTTGTTAATCGCACTGATTCAGTCGGAAACACCACTGGGACCATCAAGCAGGAGATGGAGACCAAACCAGTGCTCATGCTGGTGGAGGGAATCTGCGTGGTTTGGTTTACCTTCGAGTTCCTGGTCCGCATCATATGTTGCCCAAACAAGCTTCTCTTCATCAAGAACACGCTAAACATCATTGACTTTGTTGCCATCCTGCCCTTCTATCTGGAGATGAGTTTGAGTTGGCTCACATCTAAAGCTGCCAAGGATGTCCTGGGATTTCTGCGCGTGGTCCGTTTCGTGCGCATCCTACGGATCTTTAAGCTCACGCGCCATTTTGTGGGTCTCAGGGTTCTTGGCCACACCTTGCGGGCGAGTGTCAATGAGTTTTGCCTTCTCATCATCTTTCTTGCTCTCGGGGTGCTCATCTTCGCCACCATGATCTACTACGCCGAACGTATTGGTGCAGATCCCCAAGACCCTAGTGGCAGCAAACACACTCATTTCAAGAACATTCCCATTAGCTTCTGGTGGGCGGTGGTCACCATGACGACACTAGGTTATGGGGACATGTACCCTAAGACGTGGCTGGGCATGATGGTCGGTGCGTTATGCGCATTAGCGGGCGTGCTTACCATTGCCATGCCTGTGCCTGTTATCGTTAACAATTTTGGGATGTACTACTCGCTGGCTATGGCCAAGCAGAAGCTGCCCAAGAAGAAGAAGAAGCACAACCCAAACCCGGATATGGTAATGGACTCTGCCTCTTTTGGGAAGTCTGAAAGCAACTCGCCAAGGAACAGCACACAGAGTGACACATGCCCCCTCGCCGCTGAGGAGAACATCGGAAGAAACCGCTCAGGTAGTAGAACATCAGGATTTTCATGACAATTGTGATGTCTGAGAGGATGTATGAAACTATATGGAACACTAAGGCTAAAGACTCCTGGAATATAAAGCCATTTCTTTCAAAATACAAAAAATTAACGCAAAATCATCAAATCAGATTTGTTTCAAGTGGTTAAATCAATTGTTTTGGCGATGCAAAACATAACCCTGAAATCCTTAACAGAGCATTACACAGGACATTTTACAGTAATTACATTAAATATATTAACATGGATCCTAAAACACCCTTAAAACAAGATATATTAAACAAATACAGTTTATATTAACACTTTAATTTACTTTCTTACTCTAATGGGAAACTTTTTTTCTCAATGTAAGCATAAATCTAACAAACTTCTGTGCAGTTTATGCTAATTCTTATAACTAATGTTATATTCACTGCAAATATTGAAATCTGTTCTCTCTTGATGGCCAACATTGTCATGAAAACTTGTCTTTTTTATCCCGTTGTCAGATTCAAAGCAGAATGGCGATGCCAACGTTACTCTTTCAGAAGAGGAGGGCTGCAGTCTGACCCAACCGCTCTCTCCCAGCGAGAGGTGGACCCTCCGATGTTCACGCAACAGAGACAAGGCCATGAAAGAGGCAACTTGCTTCCTGCTGAATTCTGGAGACTTTTCTTGCGGAGCTGAACCCACCATCCACACAGGTAAAGGGGAACTGCTGGCTATAGAGTTTTAGTCCTATCCTTGAGGAGAAATGGTACTGATAAATATGAGCGTCAACCCATTTTCAGTGTCAAAATATAAAAGAATAAAAAGTATTTTTAAAGTGGACTAACAATAATTATAGTCCATATTATTACTATTATTATAAATATCCCTAAGATAGTATATAACTAATTCAACTGCAGTAATGCACTATATAATATAAATGTAAATTAAAAATGAAGTATTTTACTTTATACTATGTATTAAAATCCCAAATGAATATTAAACATCCAGAGATGGAGGTGTGTATATTATATATATATATATATATTTTTTTTTTGCATTTACTGTGAACTGAGCCGAAATCTTGGCTCATTAGCTATTCATATGCCATGCTTCGTTCTGAAACACGCACAACGCGATTTTGATTTTTGTTCAATTGACAGATGCTTTTCACAGTAAACACAACCCCTTTTTCAAACCCCTCCACACAATTAGCACAACACTACACCAAAGTAGCACAACACCCTTAGAACAGTTGACTTTTGTCAGAACTATACAATGTCTTATAAAAATTATTTTGTTGTTATAACATAAACACAACCATCATATGGTCTGTTTCTGTTTAAATCAGGTAAACACTCCTGTGCTGCTCAGCCTAAAACACTTTTAGCATTTACACAGAGAAAGTGTAAAAATAAATTCACCAACACCAGATGACACCAATTGTGCTGTTGTGATGTCAGTCTGTGTTCCCGTCTTTTCTCGTTTAGCAGTTCCCTATTATGTCTATTAGTTTTCACAGGTGTTTCTCATTGACCACGCCCCCTTTACTTTGTTATCCTGTTTAGATTTGTTATCCTGTTTCATCTGTTTGCCCCTGTTTTTAAGCCCTGTGTTTCAGTCCAGTCTTGGTGAGTTCTTGTGTGTTTTGTTTCGAAGCGGTAGTGTTGATGTTAGTTGCTGTGTGCGCCTGAGTCTTGTCCCTTGCCTGAGTCTTTGCCTAGTTTCCAGTTTATTTAATAAATGAGTGTGCTGCATTTGGATCCTGCGTCCTCCTTACTTCAACCACCTTCATGTGCAGGCTAATGAAAATATTTATTCAGTCAATATTTCAACAAAACATTTTCCAGTTTTCATACAGTATTACTGAACGTACCATTGTACTGTAAGCTTACAGTAATATTGTAAAAAAATTAGATATTGTACCGAGAAAAAAGAAAAACTAAACATCTCTCTGATCCAGGCCTTGTCAACATCACAGTCTATATTTTCATTTGCAAGGCAACGTGGGTGTTATGAGGTGGGAGGATAGACGAACCCAAAAGCAGACTGATTGCTCAACACAGAATTTATTCAAGACAAAACAGAAAATAAAACCCACGAGGGGGCAAAACAAGACTGGGTAGCAAACACTAGACTTAGACTGAGGTCAAGACAGGAACAATACTAAGACACGAACAGACTCTAGATTAACAGTTAACTCAAGGAATTACTCACTGCAAACTTCACAAACCATCAAACAGATCTCACGGCAGGTTTCACACAATGAACCGACACAGGACAGCAAACACAAGGGGATTATAAAGGGAACACTAAAGACAAAGACAGGTGAAACTGACTAGACAATAATCACAAGACTAGGATAACAAGGGGGCGGGGTAAGTTAACGAGACAACACAAGCACATGGCCCAAACAGGCCATGCGCTTGCACACAAAACATGATTCTGTCATGATCCTGCCTCACGACTAGAGAAAAATCAAAGACAAGAAGGCAGAATCATGACAGTGGGACGAATCTTTTGGAGTGACGAATGAGGGGGCTTTCACCCTGTCTGAATTTCTTTCAAATGGCACTTTATACAGTTTTTCATCAGAACTTGATGTTTGATGTACGGGCTATTGTTGACAAAGTGACTGTTGGACATCATTGAAAATTGGGTGATCATTTAAAATATGGGCTTGAATTTCTGTCTGATTGCAGTCTGATTACATTATTGGCCAAAATGAGGTTCTCTCTCTCTCTCTCTCTCTCTCTCTCTCTCTCTCTCTCTCTCTCTCTCTCTCTCTCTCGACGATGATAATTTTCTGTGCCAAATGCATACAATTGTGTTTAGTGTTTTGCAAAAAGTTTGAAGCTTACAATGTGCTTACAGTTGTGCAAATCCATTTGACAAACCCAACATTCTTCATTAATGGCTGATGTCAAGTCAGACTTCATCTGAGCCTGACTGACTTGCACCTCAGCCCCCAAATTCCCCAAAGCTCTGACAGGTTGCCGGCAGTCTATTTCTGGAGATAGTCGCTTTATCACGAGCTGCTTGAGCAAACATTCCACCTTTTACATAGCCCCGTCTGCTGATGTAAAACAGGAGCTAATTAGCGTCTGTTGCTGAAAAGCTGGGAAAAATCATCCAAAATCCATAATTATGCCCCCATTACTGCATTTGGAGCTTCAGTGTACTTTTGTATTCGCTTTATGGGTAAATTGATTAATATTTCCATAAATTAATAAATGCATAATTAAATATAGTCTTGTGATCTCATCTATGACTAGTTGATGTAGCATGAACATGAATTTTCATTTCAAGAGGCAATAAAAGGAAATATGAATATTAATCCCACCAGTTAGCATGCTTGTTTGTTTTGATTTCATTTTCCCTCCATTCTTGTAAGATTCCAACAGAGGTCGTCTAAGCCGTTCAGACATTCTGTGATGGTTGATTTCTTGTTTGTGTGAAAAGCATGCAATTTTCCTTGCTGATGTGGAGACAGATGCACTCTGTGAATCAATGAGGGGCAGAGCGACAGCAGCTGTGCTCCTGTCAGAAAACGAACCGTGATTACAGGCAATAATTCCGTCACCAGACAAAGATGCTCCATCCTTGGAAATGTCATCGCTGATGTTAAAAATAAATATGTACGAATGATCTCTATAGGCCAGAGACTCAGGCATTTCTTCTTTGTTTGTTGTTATGTGCAACATATGAAAACTGAAAAAAGGTCAAGCCAATTTTGCTAAATACATAGCATATTTAGATTGTTTTCTGAAAAATACAAACACACATAAAGGCATGTTTATTTGTAATTAATACATAGGGCCCTATTTTAACGATCTAAGCTCATGGTCTAAAGTGCAGGGCCCAAGTTCACTTAGGGCGTGCCCAAATTCACTTTTTCTAGTTTAACAATGGGAAAAATGGTCTAAAAGGGTTGTCCCCATTCTCTTAATGAGTAATGGGTGTGTTTTGGGATTTACGTGTGTTAAACCAATCAGGAGCCTCACCTCTAGTTGCGCTCGTGCCATGGCAGATTCACTATTGACATGATGGGACGCGTCTCCAGAGCGCAAATGGAACAGTTCGTGCACGAGGTAAAAGTGTGCAAGCAGACCACCTATGGGATAAACCAGATTCCACCATATGTTTATGTACACATAATAATCTTTTAAATCCTTTTAATTTTGATATTTGGCATGTTTGGCAAACCCATGATGCTGTGTGGCACTGAAACTAGCAAAAAATCGGTCTTGCTTGGCTGGGGTGTAAGATAGGGTCAAGAGTCTCCCTGGCTACTGTCTTGTCTCATCCAGCAGTCTTTTTCAATAAGGCTTCTTTCTTGATTTGTGAGTAATTACAGTATGTGGAAAGCCTGTCATCCATCAGTGAAATGTATCATCTACAGCAGTCCTGATGTGAGTTATAGATCTGCTTCTTGTCCCGAAAGGTATAGCTCAACTCAATTGATGCTAATAGGTTTCCATCATTAGCAACATGGGCAAACCCGACGGCTTCCCCAGAGTCTCTGAGTTCACTGCAAAGCGTCTGAAGCCCAGAAGTCTTTTTTTTTTTAATAGGCAGAGAAATCTCTTTCTATATATGAACAGTCTTATATAAAAACATCTGCAGTGCTGTTGTCTAAAGTTTTGCATGGTTCAGTGATCTACAGTAAATCAGACCACTTTACATACCGATATTCACTTTATTAACCTGCTATTGAATTTCTGGGACAGTTTTCACCTTGTGGTAGAAATTCTCCATAGCTTAAACTAAATGGGACGTCTCCACTTAAACACCTACAAATTTGTATTTTTATAAAAAAAAATATTGTTGATTTAACTTAAAAAAAATAAGTAACCTGGTTGCCTTAAAATTTTAAGTTGATTCAAATGAAAAAAGTGAGTTAATACAATGAAGGAGATTGATTTAATCATCAAAAACTCAAAATAATATGTTATCTGAACTAAATAAATTATTTAAGTTAATTTGACAAAAGAAAAAATGTTGTGATAACAAATCTATCAAAATATTTTTTTTACAGTGATAGGCATCTCCACTTCGACACCTGCTTCAAATGTCTGGCTGATACTGTAACTGAATAGTTACGGTATTCTTATTGCTTTTACAGTAGTCATGTAGTGTATGTACTTCATGCAGTAATTTTTATTTGTATGGTAAGTTTGTTTGAAATGTTTTCTCTCTTTGTGTCTTTGTTTCAGAGAGCTGTAAAGACACTCTCACGTCCCCAGCAAACTACACACAAGCAGAAGTCAGCTTCCTGACCTGAGGGGCTTTTATCCTGATAGGACTCTTCTGAGATGCTCACCAATCATTCATCTACTCATTAGTCATGCATCATCTATCTCAGTCAAGGGTGCGATACCCCTGTAGACTGGTAAAATGTGGATCATCATCATCTGTCCGTTTGGAAGCTGCCAGGCATGTATTAGCATGATAGAGTACTTTTGGTCAAAATCTATCTTTAATGTACTTTTATATTTAGGGCACATAAAAATCTTACCCGAAGTAACTCTTTAAAATATTAATGATGATCAATGTTGCTTGAGACCCCATTAAAATTGTATAAATGTAAGTGCTAGTTTAATGCTGAAAATTTACAAAATAACTTAATATTAGTAATTTTGGCGACTAACATTTTAGAGACTTTTAGAAAACAAACTGTCTTTCCTGTCAAGATTATCTATCTAAAAGTGCAAATTCATACTGAAACTTATGAGACCATTAGAAATTTGTACTGTTCCTGTTCTAGATACACAACTGTTCAAAAGTTTGGGTCTGTAAAATGTATGTTTTTGAAAGAAGACTCTTATGCTCACCAATGCAGCATTTATTTGATAAAAAATAAAGTAAAAACTGTAATATTGTGATATATTATTACAATTTAACGCAACGGTTTTATATTTTAGTGTATTCGAAAATTAAATTGTATTCCTGTAATGGCAAAACTACTTCAGCGTCACATGAGCCTTCAGAAATCATTCTGATATGCTGATTTGCTGCTCAAGACACATTTATTATTGTTATCAATGTTATCACTGTTGAGCTGCTTAAAGATTTTATGAATTTATTAATTTTTCAGGATTCTTTGATGAACAGAACGTTCCAAAGAACAGCAGTTCCCTTTCGTTGTCACTCCGAGTTCCGTCGGATGACGTCGAATAGCGAAACGTCTACGTTCCCTACTCAGGGAACAAGGGTTACATCTGTAAACGAGACGTTATTTGAAATATAATTAAATTGTAACTATGGACAAGTCTTTAATGTCCCTTTTGATCAATTTAATTAATATTGCTGAATAAAAATAAACAGTTCTTTCAAAAAACAAACTTTTGACCAGTAATATACATAAAACATGTCTCCCCTCAGGATACAAATTCTCAGCTTGTCTTTATTTGGACAAAAGTAGAAAGCACCCTGTGTCTGTACAGTATCTTCCAGAGATCACAGGCTAGCTAACACAACTGTAAGAATGGCCCATTAATCACTGTACAAATAACCGTCAAACAAAAGCAGGATTCCAAACTTATTTGATTTATTTTAAGTCAGTTTCTTACAAAGAAAATACATTGTTTAAAAAGCAGATTTATTCCAGAACACAGTAGCAGCTGAATGCTTTTCCAACCACCGTTTTCTGTAATACAAATTACATTAAGTCTTGCATTTGAAATCATCAATATACATAACATCGCTGGTTGACATGGGACCAAATTCTGAAAACTTTCTTCTGCTATGTTAGTTCACTGCAATCTAACCTTTTTATTTTGCGAGTACACACTGTATAACCTGTCCAAGTTGTGCCTAATGTCTTGTAATACTACTTATATTAATTTTAATAATAATAATAATGATACAAAAAAGTAGTATTTGTTGTTTTGAAAGGCTTATATTGTTGAGATGTCAATCATGTTCTCACACAGACAAAAACAACTTTTTTTGTGCGGTGCTTTTTTTTTTTTCCGATTTGTTGTCTGCCATAGTTGCCTTATGTTTCGTAACAACAGTTCAAGTGAAACATGTTATTTAGAGCCAAAAAGTGCATCATGTAAATATCAGTGCTGCTGTATGTTGCAGAGTATCACTATCAAGAAGGTGCATTCACTGTCTAGTTATACAGTCCAACAGTATCAGCCTTTAGCCAGTAACCGTGAGTTTGTTTGTGTGTTTCAGGGATGATGTGACTTGCTAAAAAAGAGGCTAATACAGTACACCAATAGATGATATGGTACAGCATTGTAACTTTTGGATAAACATGTACAATGTTATATGTCTAAAGAAAAAGCAGTTCATATCTTGTATTATGTAGGCATGTGTGTCTATGCATCTCTGCAGGAATACGAATAAAATCTAAATATTGAACTGAGGTTTGTGCTGCTTTATTTCAAGCAGTGTCCCATCAGTGTCGGAGCTGTATGTTTTGGAATACAGATGTTCTTGTGTATTTGATTTTAGAATGAGAGCCAAAGCCTCAGTGTTTCTGTCTGATTGCAGACCTGAGCTTTTGCTGGCTCCACTTGTACAATTTTAAACAGAGTGGAATACACATCCATCTCCATGGCGACTGTGAGAGATAAGTCCCACTAATTGTTGTTTAGCTCCTTCATTCTCTATGCATCTCTTTCTTCCCACATTTCGTCTGTCTCTCTCTTCCTCAATATTTATATCACAATAGTTCCCATACCATACTACTATTTCTGCCTGATCTAACCCTTAAAGGTGACGTATGCTCCTTTTCACAAGATGTACTATGAATCTATGGTGTTCCCAGAATGTTTTTAGGAAATTTCTGCTTAAAATACCCCCGAGATAATTTATTATAGCTTGTCAAATTTGCCCCTTTTTGGGTGTGAGCAAAAACGTGACTTTTTTGTGTGCGTCCCTTTAAATGCAAATGAGCTGCTACTCCTCACCCGTTCAGAAGACTGCCATTCAACAAGGCATGCAAATTTCACTCATCCAATACCGCAGAAATAACCAGTAGCAGAGTGCAGCCTTACGGAGAGACTCAGAAAGAGGTGAAGGAGATTGATTTAATCAAATGTAGTTTGCATGCTTTGTTTGAACTTTTTCCATTGCGTTAGAACTTATCACACTGTTGGCGTTTGCGAAAACCAAATGGCGGCACCGTGGGTGAAAACGTGCAGTTTAAAGGGTGGTAATATTATAATAAGATCCCCTTCCTATGTCAGAAGGAAAGCCAAACTGATCCGCTTGTTTTTTTTTACATCTTGCAGGCTTATGAAAACAAATTTGTCACTTTTTGCGTTTTCGGGGTTGGTAGTTGCACCCGGAACCCGATTATAGCACTTAAGCATGGAAGAAGTCAGATTTTCATGATATGTCCCCTTTAAAATAATTTTTGTTGGTGTAACCGAATGTAGTTAGGTCGATTCAGCATATCAAAAATATAATATTATATACTATAAAATATGTAATGACTGAGACAAATCAGACACACATATTTGTTATATTAAATAAATAATAATTTAAGACCCCCTCACCAACCACCAAAAAACAAGGTGCCAAAAGGTTTATGCTACAACCCCAAAGAACCAGGCCTCTGGTTACCATGGTTTTATGACTTTAAACAATGCAGAGCTCAAACTCACTTTTAATCAGGTCATAGGAAGGACACACAGCCTGTTACAAATAGACAACTCTTCCTCAATGAACTCTCCAGTGATTAAACAGTTTTAAATATGGTTACTTTTCTTACAAAATCGCTTCACTTCAGAAGGCCTTTATTAAAGCTAGGGTATACGATTTAAAAGATTGTTCATTATTAATATCCTCATTTAGATGCTGGTTATGGTTATATAGTACAATCCTAACAACATGAATAGAAAAAAGAATGAAAAAAGTCCATTCACTCTATTGGCTGTACAGCCGCAGAGAAGTTGACCAATGTAAGCTGTCCGGCCGGACAATCACCAGCTCCACTTGAAACTCCGCCTGGCGTTCGCGTCTCCAACCCAACGTATCTACAAACCAGTGATGATTTATTGTAATAACTTTGCTAATGATGATTTTTGGAACAACATTTCAAATCAATATCCAAATCTAAACTAGCAAAATACGTAACATTTTATGTGAATATTATATTTATCAAAAGAAATGGCTATCAAGATCTCTTTCAGAAATAGCTTCATAAGTAATAGTGAAAAGCAAATACTTTCTTATGCACTTGTTGATGTACCTAAACAGTAAATATGTTTCAGGAGCTATTCCCCCACAGCTATAATATTCACATTTGGAGATTACTAGAATATCTTGCATTCTTTAGCAGAATACATCATGTAGAAGGAGTATCAGAAGCACTGGAAGTGTGCTGTGAGGAATGATTGAACAGTCTAGAATGCGCAAAATAACCTCACTGCGTCTGAGGTTTGAAGAGAGTGACACGCATAAGCTTTCACAGGGAAAAAGGTGGCAGCGTTTTATGTGTTCTGTCATCCACTCCCTCTCCAATTAATTCCATTGTATTTCCTTCTCTTTTGTTGGCTTTTTTCCCCCCATAAAATGGGTTGTCATGGCAATGTCGAGTGCAGTTACCATGGAGAGCTGCTCATCCACCACTTTAGCCGGGTCGCAGAAGTGGCCAGTTGGAGAAGAAGGGAAAAAAAAAAACAGAAAGGGAAAATGCATAAGTGGCCAGTTGGTTTGTGGCTTTTTTTTTTTTTTTTTTTGTGAGTGGTTCTCAGATTGAGCATTTGGGTTCAAATTGAGAGATGGTAACAGCTGTTCTGAGAACTTTTGACCCACGGCAATGCTCAATCTTACAAACAAATCTATGACAGAATGTTTTTAGTGTAGACATTTAGACAAGAGTTGAGCCTTTACTTATATTGTCTTCGAGGCAAAGAAAAATCAGACAGAGGAAAAAAAAATAATGCAATGAATTATTTCAGTCTATTACAGATGTTTAGAAATATGATCACTAATATATATGTGTCACTGTGTCTAAAACTATTTATTGAAAAGAAAATAATCAGATTATTTTTAAGGATGTGGCACACACACTAACATCTGACTTGGAAAATGGAAATTAATTTAAAGGAAAAGCTTTTGACACTGGACAGGCCAAAGTGTTTAATCTTGAATCCATTATATTATTGATATTACCAGGCAATACACACTCCCAGACTGATATACGGTCACCCACTTTGTTTTCCCCCCAGCTCTAGTGATAAAAGAGGAGCTATGATGGAGTTGTCATGGTTACGCTGCCCTCCCCCTTCCCCCTTCCCCGTTCATCACTGTCTCAACACTGGAAATTGCGAGACAGGTTTTGGGTCATTATCACAGATTCATGCTATCTATGGACAGGCCTATTCCTTCCAATGGTCCATTCATCTTCTTTATCCTTCCTTTTTTTGTTTCACACTTCTTTTGTTCATTTCTTGAGACTGAGAAAAGTCACTCTGATTGCTTCTCTCATTTAAGCTTAAGTTACAGACTTCAGGATTTTTCTTTGTGTAGGGCACACTGGGAAATGTGTTTAATTATATATACTTCTGTAATAGAACTCCATTGGTTTTTAATGTTATAATTACTATAATAAGAACCATGATTTATGCTAAGTTACATGAATGTGAACACCTGTGAAGAATTACAAATCTGTCCTGAAAAACACACTGTTCCTGAATGTTTAGAGGCTCAGTGAACCCATGATCAATCTTTGATTTGACAGAGAAATGCTATAAACTGAAAAAAAAAAAAAAAACTTATTACATATTTCCTTTTTTTTTTTTTTACCCAAAAGTCAAAGCAAAAAATTCAACCTGTGTAAGTACTACATTAATTAACGAGTTTGTTTGCCCATAACATCTTTAAGTGGTGGAGTTTGGGGATGTTGAGGGATTCTGGGACAGCTGGTGATATGGAGAGCAAGCGGCTGCTTATACTCAGGCTGTTGATTGAAAGATTTGATTGGCTCAGTCCTCCCTAATTTACGTTTAGGAACTTCATTTAACGAGTTTGTTTGTCCCTAAAATCTTTAAAGTCTGCATGAAATCAAACTTCCGTTTCATGCCGACTTTAAGATATTAGCTTAAATTTAATTGGCTTGCTGTCTGGAGAGGGGCTTGAGCTTCAACTTGAGCTCTGATGATATACCCCCCAAAACTGTTGACTAAAAATTTGGGACAGCAAGTTAGAATAACATGACCAAATGATTCAGAACTTAGGAAATACAGGATGCCTCAGAGCTTAAAGGATTAATTCACTTTTTTTAAAAAACTGTTGCTAATAATTTGCTCACCCCCGTGTTGTCCAAGATGTCCATGTCTTTCTTTCAGTTGAAAAGATATTAAGGTTTTTGATGAAAACATTCCAGGATTTTCTTCATATGGACTTCAATGGACCCCAACCATTTCAAGGTCCAAATGAGAGTTTCAGTGCAGCTTCAAAGGGCTTTAAATGGCACCAGACAATGAATAAGGGTCTTATCTAGTGAAACGATCGGTCATTTAAAAAATAAATTAAAAAGTTTTATAAACAAATGCTCGCCTTGCTCTATTCTGTGACCATGTTCGAACTCGTTCATCAAAATTAACAAATCTTTTTTCGAGTCATTTGGTTGAAATGACTTGAAAAAAGATTAGTTCGTTTTGATGAACGAGTTCGAACAAGATAGTCACGAACATGCATCACAGAACCGAGCAAGGCGAGCATTTGTGCTTATAAAACTTAAACTTTAAGCTAAGTTTAAACCTAACTCGAATAGGAGAGCCTACGATGCATCTGAACGGGGAAGCCCACACATCAATTCAGATGGGAGACCCTTTTTGGGATGTGGTGGAACGGGAGCTTCGTGCCATTGGATGTCCATCCCACAAATCTCCATCAACTGCAAGATGCTATCCTATCAATATGGGCCAACATTTCTAAAGAATCCTTTCAGCACCTTGTTGAATCAATGCCACTTAGAATTAAGGCAGTTCTGAAGGCGAAAGGGGGGCAAACTGGTGTTCAATCCTTGAGGTGAGTGTGTGTGTGTGTGTGTGTGTGTGTGTGTGTGTGTGTGTGTGTGTGTGTGTGTGTGTGTGTGTGTAGGCTATATATGGAGAACTAGTTTTCTTCAAAAAGCTTCTTTGCAGGGAGCCGGAGAAAAACGAAAATGATCTTTTATAGTTTTTTTATAGAATCAATCAACTATATCATTGAAAATACTACTGAGATATTACTATCACACGAGCAAATGGCATAAATGCATGGATGCAAAGTCAGATTAATGAATGAAATAGAACTGTTGTATTTCATTCATTAATCTGACTTTGCATCCAAGCATTTAATTGCCATTTGCTCGTGTGATAGTAATATATATCTCAGTAGTATTTTAAATAATATAGTTGATTCTA